GCCTGAGAGAGCCATCATGGATTTCCAGAGATCCACAACTACACTCAGGAGCCAGGTAGATGGCTCAGATAGGAAATCTCCTCCATCTCCCTCTGTCAATGTATGAAAGATTTTTAAGGCATTACATGATTCTTGTCATTTAAGCTGAGACCTACTATGCCAAGGGTACAAACAGATATTAGAGGCAAAGGGCTTTACAGAACTACTGACAGTGTACTTTATGTGCTCATAATAATCCCTGAGGATCTATTCCTCTTCCTTTGGTGGCACCGACTCAAAGATATGGGCAGAATTCAGGTGAGGAAGAGCAAATTGATTCAACCCAGTTGCCCCCTTGCCAAAAGTGTAAATATCTACAAGTTTTTAATTGAAACTTTTAAGAGATAGGAGCTTTTCCAACTGAAAAAGCCACAGTTGATTGTTAGAAAGCTTAGTGCTGACTTTTCAGGCTATCCATACAAATGTGTAGATTTTTATGGTGTACATTTAAGATCCTCATTGTTTTTCTTTATTTTTAAAAGTTTGAATTACCTTTAATTATACTTACTTTGAGTGATGTTATGTTTACTCAGTGTGCATTAAACCAATGAGTTTATGATTTTAAATTTATTGTGGATTTGTATTTTTATTACTTGGAAACAGAAGTAAAGATAATGGCATTCTCAAATCTTAAAATATAAAAATTATACTTATTTCTCTTAAAATATTGGGGCATTTTATTGCTATTGTTTTTTATCTACAACTATCAGATAAAAATATGATTGATTGTACAAATGAAGCTAGATTCAAAGGCTTTGAAACAAATTTAAACTAAATAATATATTGTGAGATTTCTTATTTATACATTTTTTTATCTTCTGAAAAACTACTCAATATCTTAACTTTTTCCCCTACGTCATATATAATTTTTTCAAAATATCCCAAAATGATGATCAATAGATCTGTTACAAATTACTATATGCTTTAGCAGCCACTACAACATAAGATGGTGGATTTATTAAGAATAACAAAGTGAGCTTTTTGTAAGTAGAACTACATTTGTTAATTTACAATGTAGCACAGTCTACTATAGTTTGCATAGAAGTAGGAATAGCTTGAATTGGAACATTCAAGTAAGTCTCCTGGGAATAGTTTCAGTAAAAATATTCTAATAAATTCCTTAAATTTCTACTCCAAATTTTCCACTGGAGTAGCTTTCAAAAGTGTTTATAATGGCTGGAAAAGAAGAAAAATAAAAAGGGGTGGGGAGGTAGTTTAGACGTAGAGCACTGGCCTAGCATGAACAAATCTCTTAATCCAACTACAAAAACAAAACCTCTTTAAAAGTGTTCCTGATACTGCCAATATTCTAAACAAGTTTTTATAGCAAGTATTTGACAAAATGTAATGTTTCTGTGCTCTTTCTCTCACCTCAAATATGCTCTTACTGTTGTGTTAAGGTTATATTTTCTTAGTTCCATCAAATGTTTTATACAAAGTTTTCTTTACTGTCAAATATAATTTTCATATATGTTCAATACCAAATGTGAATATATAAATATTTTCGATTCAGAAATGAAGTTCAAAAGAAGAAAATTGTTTGCCACTGTCTTCGAATTAAACATGAACTAAAAATAATAATGATAATATGATAATGAAAAGAGGGATGGGGTATAGAGCTGAAGGGAGAGACATGGGTAGGGTAAGGAAGGGGAATAAAAAAGAATCAAGATGTGCCAGGTACGTATAGAAAGGTAAATTTCATGTGCAACAAATAAACTTTGAAAAATTTTAAAAAGGAGCAGCCGTAGGTCCATATGGCAAAGAGACAGAGCATAGGGGACTTGTAGAATTAGCTGTGTTTCTTTCTGAAGCTTGCTCTGTTTATCCAATGTATGGGCATTTGTCTTACTGCATTGTCCTAAGCATCACAGAAAAAGTAGAGACTGGTAGAGAAGAAAAAATGATGAGTATGAGTCAGGTGAAATTAGGGAAGAAAATTAGCCTGTTAAGGAAACACCCTTTTACCTTCCCAGAAGGAACTGTGGAACATTTTTGTGTAATATCTTCTAATGCCTAAGAGGTTGCAGGGAAATATGTTCTTTATTAGTAAAACCAAACCAAACTTCAATCCTAAATATTTTTTGTTCCTCTTTGGTGACAAGAGTAGTTAGGGTGTGTTCAGGTAATGAGTCTAATCCTACAATCATCTATTAAAATCAGTCTCTTTGTCTTATACTTATGCTCCATTCGACACACAAAAATCTCATTTGGGCCCTACTTAAGGTCTTCCATAAAGAAGCTTTCTCCAGTGTGTGTTTACTTTTAAATTCTGTCCCTAACACTGTAGTTGGGGTCTAGAATGCTACTCAAAAGTCCTATATGTTAAAGACTTGGTCCCCAGCCTGTGGTACTACTGGGGTTTGGTGGAACCCTTAGTACATGAGGCATGGTAGGAAGCGTTTCATCACCAGGACGTGCCGTAGATGGGACCGTGGGAGGCCTCATCCCTTTCTCCTTTCCGCCTTGCCAACCATCACAAGGTTAACAGGCCTCCTCCTCCACATGCTCCTTCCCTAACCAAAGGCAACAGGGCCAAGGGTCCATGGACCGAAGCCCAAGTCCAAACCACGCCGTTCTTCCTTGTAAGGTGGTTTATTTTAGGTATTTGTTACAGTAATGAAAAAGAGGGCTAATACACTACACAAGCACAATATGGCAAGGAAAAAAATGAAGACATTTTTGGATCATCCTATGATAATTTGAACACACAGCGAATCTGATCATTGTGACCCAGTAACCAGTATAAACGACCCCTATCAAATGCATTCATCAGGCTTCAGAAAGTGACATCATCAACTAACATTCAAAGGAGGGAATACTGAATGTCGCTTGAGATCTAGGTACTCTGCAGGTATAGAGGAAAGCATGTTATAAACAAAAAGTAGTATTACATTTGATCATAGCCACTGCCAGTGAAATCACCAACTACCGCTAAAATACTCGCCCCAGTGCCACTGATGCAACTTTGGCTGTACACAGTACATTCGTTCATTCTCTCCACTACATGAAAAACTATGCACCTTTGCTAAAATATATGAACTAATTACTTGAAAATAGTTGAATATCTATACTGGTACATATTTTATTGGCCCTTAAAAATATCTACAAAACAACAGAAGAAGCCCTAACATTAAAGATAAAAGCATGTACTTTGAAAATAGTCTTCCGGAGCAGTGGCATATCTCTGTACACCCAGCTATTCAGAGGCAGAGTCAGGAGGAGCACAACTTCAAACCAGCCTTGCAACTTCCCTAGGCCTGGTCTCAGATGCATTATTCCACATAAGAAATGCAAACGTTATGCATGCTAATAAAAATGTTTAAAAAGAAAAAAGAAGTATAAAGGGCAGAAAATGTAGCATAGCTCCCCCTGAGGTCAATCCCCAGTGTCACAAAAAGACTTTAAAACGAGAAGAAATGAAGTGACACAAACTGGAATTTCTCTAGGGCAATCTCCATTGTTCCAGTTACTTTCATATTTCCAACTCTATGACTAATTCTATGATCCCCAAAATAATTCTTTAATATTATTAGTTCTCTTTCATTTTCTTGGCTCTAGGAGATTCAAGACAAATCTAGATATGGAAAAATGTTAGTTATTCCAGCCTTGTCCAAAGAGAAATGACAGCTGAGGTTTAGAAAACTGATACTCCCAAAAGAGGAGTGGAAGAGCAGATGCTCTAAAACTAGACATTAAAGGAACTATGCATTCAAAAAGTGGGAAAAAATGCAGTGAGAAAAAGTTCCAACCAGACAGTAAAGGACAACCCAAATCACCACCCCCAAAACCAGCCATTTCAAGGAGCAGGATATGGTCAACAATATTAAAATCTACTGAGATGTCATGAAGAATGAACATTGTTCAAAGGCATAGGACATGGTTTAAAAACTAAGAATTAATGATATCCTAGAATAGCATTTTAGCAAGAACATGCAGAATAAATTCTGGTCATAAGGATGTAAGACATGTGGGCATCATATATAGACCATTTTGAAATTATGATAGTAAAAGAAACAAAAATACTAGAGGAAGAACTAGCCTAAAAAACATTTAATTGTAAGATATTGTTCACATCCCTCCTCAATGTGTGAACATTTAGCTTTCCCTGGGTATATTAGCTATTTATTACTTTGAGCCTTTCTCATTTAATTGATATTGCAAATATCATTTTCTGTGTTACCTTTAAAATATGTAGTGGGACTTATTCATCTACACATAGCATAAAGTCCACAACAGCGAGTGGGGCACTGAAAAACAAAAGATCATTTGGGGCAAAAGTGGTGGCTATGTGATAGGGCAAGTGTTTAGCATGCATTCAGTCCCCAGCACCAAAAAAAGAAAGAGGCAAGGATTTAAGCTACTTTCATTCAAAAGCAACTCAACAACTATGGCTGTGATTTAGCAAATACCTAGCCAAAAAAAAAAGTTGAACATTTTTTGCAAACCAATTACATAATGCTTTATAAAATGTTATAAATTTAACTCAAGTTACACATATTTCAACTGAATTGCCATAATAGATTCAATATGTAATTTCAAAAACTGCACTACAAGTAAAGCCTAAAGGACATTAAAATTGTACTAAAAGGCATTGTGTACAACTTAGCTCCTGACATCCCATTACACTACATTTAGAAATCATATTAATAAGACATACACCTAAAATATTTCTAAGGATCCCTCCAGCATTGCTATTATTTAACACCGCAGTTTCTAATTTTTATTATGGGATGCTTAGTTCTAAAAGTAACTGAAATTTTAGTGACTGGCCATTTAATAATTTTTTAAAAATTCATAGATGTATTTGTATACTTTGATATACAAATTGCATAAGACAAAAACATATATTTTACTCTATATTTAATTGTAATAGATGAGTAGGCAGAACCACAGGTGGGTAGATAAATGAAGGCATTGAAAAAGGTAAAGTATCAGTTGTTACAGGAAAGGTAAATTACAGTCACCCATGACATTTGTTGCTAATTATAACAATCATCTTCCTAGACAACAGGAAGATAATGATATTCAATCAAGAGCACGTACTCACAATTTCCTCCCCGGGCTCCACAGCCCATCTGATCCAGATCCTGTGTCCTCCTCCAGGGGGATCAGATTATTCTTTCTGGAATTCACTCTAAATCATTCTTTAACCCCCTCCTCAGTCCATCAGCAAAAGATGTTGCCCTGGATTTGAGCAATCTTATTGTGGAAAAAAAAAAAAAAAAAAGATGAAGGGAGAATAGGAAAAACAGGGTGGGTCTATTTAAACTACAATACACATGAAGCATAAAAGCACAATATAGATACTAGAAAAGAATAAATTTACCATGCAATAGAAATACAATAAATTATATATATATATACACACACATATATATGATTTAATTTAGGCTGTGTTGAATGACTCTTAAGGCACAATAACTTATATAATGAGAGAATTTCTAACCTTTGTCTTTAGCCTTACACATATCTAAAGCCACCCAATACAATGCTGTTTTAAGTGAAAAAACCATAATCATTGAATCATTGAATACTAAACAAATAAATTTCTGATTAGCATTTTCCTTCATTTTCCAGCACCAATGTCATGTAGTTTTATATTCAAAATATATATTCTACATATATACATTATATACTATATATACACTATATACTATATATACACCTATACTCAAAATATGTACTCAATTTTATGTATTTTCTTAATGAAGGTGATTATGACCTTCACTGTTGTCAGGCAGATGCTGATATAAACAATACCATACATTGCATGATTCATGTGATGAAATGTGTTCAGTTAAAACTATTCTTGGACACACATGAAGATCTAGGCTTTGTGGGACACAACACCTACATATTTAGGGGTCTCACTTTAAAAGAACTAAAAAATTACAGTATTTATTTGAATTGGAAAGGGGAATAAGGGAAAAGGAAAAAATGAGAAAATGGAATTAAAGTGTTTGAAGGTGGGGAGGGGAGGAGGGGGTGAAGGGAGGGTGGGGACAAGGGGAAAACATGAGAACCAAGACCTGTCATGGAAAGGTACAAGATTCCAGTAATGAATGTAACTGTACTGTCTACCTAGAATGTACCAATAAATTCAATTAAAAAGAAAAGAAAACATAAATCCCAACAGATTTCAGTGTATAAATTCTGGCAAATACCACAAACATTCTATACTCCAGCAAAATAAGATTTTTGTTAATTATCTGTTTGACCCACTCTAATACACTTTTCTTACATGTTTTGGCTTCAGTCCCACTGATAACTTCATGATAAAAAGTTTATAATATCTTTATAGAGTCTAGATAAAAAATATAATCTCTCGTCTAGCATGGTTAATCAAAATTTACTTTTTTATTGATAGTTTAACAATGATTTACTTTTCACTGAATTATTCAGTATTTGTAATTTCATCAAAAGGTTTGTTGGCAGCTTTGGAATATTTACCAAGTCTTTGTACATGCTAGTGTAAATTTAGGCTGATTTTTCCATACATGAGGTCCTAGTTCCACATATGTGTATATTTTTAACTTTCTTTTCCCTCTATGATCTACCTCGGTCAGTGCCATAGGACATGTTCATATGCCCTGTTACTCCTTATCCAGATGCTACTGAGAGCATGGGACAGAGGGGTCATCTCAGAAGCCATTCCTAAACCAGCATGGCCACCATAGTTAACCAAAATGAGACTGTGAACTAAAATAAACCTATCCTAATGAACCTTAAATTAACAGTCCCTCACTCACTTTTTCTTTACATGATCCCCAAAATACTATTTGACATGGAGCAATTTGGGGGATGGTGAATAGACCAATTACATTACATTACATTGTATATTATATCCACGTGCATGCACATGTGCTGTAATATGTCAAACTATACACTTTAAATATGAGAGATTTATTGTATGCTAATTACGCTTCAATAAACTTTGATTCAAAAGTAATTTATCTGTGTGAAAGTTGAATGGAAAAATAGAAACAGTAATCTGAACAGGTAAGTTTTGATGTGAAGAATAATTAGATACAATTAGGAAAAATGGCAAAAATGTAAAGCAAGTGTTAATGCAAACTTAGGTTAGAGGACTGCTACTCAAAGAGGGAGAAACATGAAGGCGCAGCTCTCCTCCCCGAGACTGAACTGAGGCCTTGGAATGCTGTGCGTGCAGCCCACTGTGCGACAGAGAAGTTCCCTGGATGAGCCAGAGCCAGAGCTGACCCACAGATGTAGGGCAAGCAGGAAAATCAGACCAACAAACAGAATGACCCCTCCAAGTGACAGGTGAAATCAAGATAGTGGATGAGATGAGGAAAGGAATCTACTCTTTGCTGGGCCAGTGTATACAGTGCAGGATATATAGTTTCTATGCAGGAAGGCGGTGGGAGGAAATCCAGTGTGGAGACCGAGGAGAGGAGGTTAGGGTGTTGGGAGCCCTGATAACCAGCTCGGCGGAGCAAGGCCACGTAGTATTCTTTTTCTGACCAAGGAAACCGGGCCTGTCCTCACCATTTCTACACACCATTTTGCTAATACATAGTGTATTAGCACAAGAAAAAAAGAAAGAAAGGCATCCTGCTTGGGGGAAAAAGCTATCATTATTTATAAATGCTGTGATCATTTCTGTAGAAAATCCCATTAAATTTGCCCCCCACAAAACCACTAGACTTAGAAGTAGAGTTTACCAAGATCATCAGGTCCAAAATCAATACCTAAAACTTGTGTTTTTTAGACTAGCAATGAATAACCAGAAATTAAAAAGTTAAAAAGCGCAGCCATTTTACAAGAACCAAAATATGAAATATTTTAATATAAAGCTGGCACAATATATATAAGTGCATTCACTAAAACACATTAGGTGCTATACACACTTCAGTGCCCTAGTTTTTAGAAACAGCTTTACTAAAGTATACTCTTTGTATTCTTTACAAGTTTCACATATAAATATACAATTTACTAAATTTTAATATATGTACATACACATACAGCACCACCAAAAACCCAAGTTAATAACCACAGCTCAAAAGTACTTCTTTGTTTTCCTTTGCAGTTCCTATGTATATCAAAAAATTCAAACCTTTTCTTTCTGTTTGCTCTAGAGGTTCAGTGCAATCCCTGATAATCTCAGCAGGCTTTTGTCATAAAACTGATCAATTGATTCTCAGATTCAGATGAAAACTCAGAAGACTTAAAACAGCCAAAACTACTTTGGGGAGAATAATAAATTTGGAGTACTTGAAATAATTCTAGGGCTTATTACAAAGCTACAGCAACAAAGACAATGTGGTATTGGCATAAAGAGAGATAAATGTATCAATTAATATAGTGATTTCAGAAAAAACTCCATACATTTGTGGGCAATTAATTTTTGACAAAGTTTCAACAATGTGTCAACTAATGGTGCTGGAAAAATTGGATAGTCAAATGCAAAAACACAAACAAAAAATCTTTGATTCACCCTTTGTATCACACAACTTTGCAAAGGAAAATAAAGAAATTTGGGGGTTGTCTATGTGTACATACATATATTAAAATTTAGCAAATTGCATACTTGAAATGTGAAACTTATGTCAATTATACTTCAATGAAGCTGTTTTTTAAAACTAAGATATTCACGAATGCTTATCACCCAAGTGTCATTCCATAAATACACTTATATAGACAAGAGCAGATTAGATATATTTAGCAGATACTTGTATTCATACAACACAACAGCCGTTATCACCACTCTCTGGTTCTCATCAGAAATTTACACTAGCACTTTATGAGAGATGAAACGTACTTGTGGAAACGGTGTTTCAAATGTGAAAGCACTTGTCGCTGGAAATGAAGGAGAGATTTTGTGGGCTTGGAGCCACTTTTGATGTTGCTTAGTCTCATTTTTATGGGAGAATAAGTGAGTGGAGGGGCCACCAAAGAATCCGCATTAGTGCCTTAGCTGCCCACCCAGCTGGATAACCAGCCAGGACCTTGTCCTAGGGTTCACACTGTAAATTCCCTTAATTCGATCTGAGCTACAACAACATGTGAAAGGGTAGAAAACAATCGAACTATAAACTGAAAGGTATTGTACATAGTATTTAATCCAAATCCTTCTATTATTTACAAAGACACCAAGATCGAGACAGATTAAATGATTGTCCAAGTTTGGGAAATGGCAGAGCTACACCTATAGTTTCTTATGAGCAAAATTCCTTGCCTTTTTCTTATTATCCCAGCACCCACCCCTCTTGGAGTATTTCTCCCCCTAAACAGCCATTAATCCTTTCTGAAGATAAAAGCATCCTCTTCTTACATTTTACGTTAAGTACATTCTTGTTTAAGTATAATGGAAAATATCCTTGCAATTTTTTCTTTTGTCAAACCCATCTGCAGACTTCATTTTGACCTCATTGAAAATTAGCTATTTAATTTATATACAATCAGGACAATGTCCCCTGATTTTGTGCCTATCTTTTTATATCTCATTTTTCATTACCATGGTGAAGACAATAGGCTCTATCTTCCATCTAGAATAATTGTTTAAAGCTCTTTTTAAAACAACAGTACCAAGCTAAGAGTAGGTTCTATAACAATAGACATTTTACTGACAAGAGAAATATGCAAATCCAGGCACCTCTTAATTATATTACCACAATCCAGAAAGAATTAAATAAATTTTATATTTAAATATTCATTTTTTCTTTCCTATTTCAAAAGCATTTTATGCTCACAAAACTATGGAAAATAGTTTAATAACTTTAAAAAGATTAAAATCATCCATGATTTTTAAAACCAGAGGTAGTAATTATTAACATGTAACCTTTTTCAATTTTAAAGATAAACATAAGATATTAACTAATGAGCTCTAGACAGAAATATAAAGATATGTGTAAATTTTGTCTTTTTAAAGACATATTATCCTTTTCCTATAACTAAAAATTCTTTTTATGTCACTCCTGAGATATAAATTTTAAGCATTATTATTACTGCATTATTTAACCCTTCTTCCATTGTCGAATATGTATGTCGTCTTCAACCTTTTATGATAAATAATATGAAGACAATCACATGCATCTTAATCTTCATTAGCCTTTCTGATATTTTCATAGCATTTATGTCCTAGGCTTGGGTAACATTAAGTGTAAAAGTTTAAACTATGCCAATAATAGATATTCATATAAGATAATCCCCAAACTTAAATACTGTCTGCTTACTAC